GACACAGCACTAGTTTCTTCCTCGTCTGTCTGTGCCCTTGGCCTGGGCATGAAGGATGGTCAAAGGATGACTGTTCACAGGATGTGTGGATAAACCTTGAACATATGGCTTTGAGGATCCCTACACATGCAGGTGAGGCTCCCGGTGTTACAAGGTGAACTTCTAAGAAGAGAAGTGTGAGAACATGAGCAGAGCAATGGAAATTAAAATCTCTGATGCATTAAGCAGGTTGGACACAGCTGAAAACAAAGTTGGTGGAACCAAGAGAAAAACCTCAGAAGCCATCTGGAAGGGAAGACAGAAAGACCAGTGATGGAAAATCCAGCTCAGAATGCAAAACACAAGGTGGCATCGAGAGGCGCTGAAGTTCCAGAGGGAGCTAAAAGATGGAAAGTATACTACATGTGAGTGACAACTGTCCATAGTTCTCTAGTATCATTGCGAGATGACTGATATCCCAGAGAACCCTTAGGAGGATGAGAAATGAAAATTAAACATACGTGCATATATGTGCATAGAGAAGACATTAGAAATATCAAGAAAAACGTCCTACAGAAATAAGACCCTAGTGGCCAATTTTGTAACCACTACAACCAAGTAGAAGCCAAAGTCAATAGCAAAAGACCTGTGCACAAAAGTTCCACACTTGGTCAAACTACTTTCTAAAATGGGGGCAAAAGAAAACATTTTCAAAGAAAGAAAGACATGGAGGATTTAGCGCTATGTATCAGCATGAGATGCAAAAGAAAAATGGCCCAAGCTGGACAATCTGATCTATAAAGAGCAATGATGCCAGAGTCCAGGAAATATAAGACAAACATGGAGAAATGGTGCCCGTATAAAATGATTAATCAATTAATGTTAAAAATCCATATAAAGAATTATATTAAATACAGAAAATATATACAAGAAAATCCAGTATCCGTTCATTGGGGGCAAAAAAGCATAAAAAACTGAAAAAAGAAAGGAATTTCTTTAGCTCGATAAAGGACACTGACAACTGTCTATAGCTAATATCCCCTTTTATAAGGAAATATTTAAAAATTCTCTTTATGATCAAAAACATTATGAGTATGTTCATTTTAGTTGCCTCTATTCAACTCTTTTTGTGATATTTACCAGTACAGCAACACAGAAGAAATAAAAACATTGTTATTTGGCAATAATGTGATTGTCTATTTAGGAAACCCTGAAGAGTTTAATGACAGAGAAGTCATTAAAATTAGCAATAGTTCAGCAAAAATGCTGAACCAAAAAATTAATAAATTAAATTCAGCCATTTCTTTTTCCTTGTTTTAGTTCTGAGACAGGGTCTCCCTGTAGCCCCAGCTAGCCTGGAACTCATTATGTAGATCAGGCTGGTCTCAATCTCACAGAGATCCATCCACCTACTTCTGCCTCCCGAGTGCTGGTACTAAAGGCATGCGCCACCACACCTGGTCCTGTATTTTTAAAAATATTTTATTTATTATATTTATTTTATGAGTGTATTGCCTGCATGTATGTGAGTGCACCCGTGTTGTGCAATGCCGTGGAGGTCAGAAGAGGGCTTCAGATTCCCCTGGAATTGGAGTTAAGGATGGTTCATAGCCGCCATGTGGGTGCTGGGAATCGAACCTGTGTCTTCTGCAAGAGCAGTCAGTGCTCTTAACTGCTGTATTTTTTTTAAATACAGCCCCATGTATTTTTTTAAAAAAATAATTATTTTTTATTTGATGTGTATGGTTTTGCTTGCATGTATGTATGTATGTATGTATGTATGTATGTATGTATGTATGTGCATTATGTGTATGCAGTGCCTGCAGAGGCTAGAAGAGGGTATCAAATCCCCTGGAACTGGAGTTACAGATGGTTATGAACAGATGGTTATGAACTGCCATATGGACAATGGGAACTGAACCCAGTTCCTCTGCAAAAGCAGCAAGTGCTTAATGGCTAAACCATCCCTAAAGTCCTCAACTGTGTTTATCTTTGTGTGTGTGTATGATGTGTATGCATGACTGTGTTTGCACATGCATCCATGGTGCACTTGTGGAAGTCAGAGGACAATTTGGGGGTGTAGGCCTTTCTGCTTTCTGAGGCAGGGTCTCTTTGCTGTGCACACCAAGTGAGCTGGGTACCAGCCTTTGGAAGTCTGTGTCCTCCTATCGTGACACAGGAGCACTGGGCTCACAGATGTGCTCCACTCCTGCTTTACGTCGGCTCTAGGGATGTGATTTTAGGTCCTCACCCTTACTTGGTCAGTGCTTTCCATACTGAGCCATCTCCCCAGCCCTCAATTGTACTTAATGCAGCTTATTCCAACAGAATATTTACACGGTTTCCGATACTTCATTAAAACTAAGAATTTTTGTTCATCCCGAGATAGCACCTGGCAGAAAAATACAGGGTGCAGACTAGAATCATTTGTAACACACATATCTGGTAAATGATTAGTACATTATATTAAGAAGTGTGTCCATAAATCAATAGGAAAGTTGCCCCCAGAACTAAACCTCATAAAATAACAGAAAAATTGGTAAAAGGCATGAATGAGGTATTTAACATAAATTTTAGGCAGGAATATAGCTCCACAAACATGTTTTATACTCATGTTCATTAGTAATAAAGAAATGCAAGCTAGGGGCTGGAGAGATGGCTCAGAGGTTAAGAGCACTGACTGCTCTTGCAGAGGGCCCGGGTTTGACTCCCCACACCCACAAGGCGGCTAAGAACCATCCTTAACTCCAGTTCCAGGGGAATCTGAAGCCCTCTTCTGACCTCCGCAGCAATGCAGGACATGGGTGCACTCACATACATGCAGGCAATACACTCATACTCATAAAATAAAAAATAATAAATAAAAAAATAAAAATAAAGAAATGCAAGCTAGAACAACAAGATAGCTTTTTCTCACAAAAAAATTAGCAAGTTGAACAATACCAAGGGTTGGTGGGGCTGGCGAGGTGGGGGGTGGGAACACTTATGTATTGCTGGTGGGAATATAAAATGATATGATCGTATTTCTCAGTAATTTTAGTTCTGGTTGTGTTTCCTGGGGACCTTTGTACAAATGAAGACATGCACGAAAGCAAGGATGCAGATAGTGGTGTGTCTGTAACAGTAAATAACTATTATTTCCCAAATGTCTCTTGAGCCTAGAATGGCTATATATGTTCATAAATATAGTCCCAGGCTGGAAAACCATATAGCAAGAAAATGAACTCAGCTATGTGTCAAGATGCTAAATCACAAAAGCACGAATCTAAGCAAAGACGCTGGTAACAGAATATACATGCTATGATTCCATTTGTATAAAATTGAAAAATAGGCCAGGTATGGTAACACACAACTTTAATCCCTGCACTTGGGAGGCAGAGGTAGGTAAATCTCTGCGAGTTCAAAGACAACATGATCTACATAATCAGACAGAGTTACATAGTGAGACTCTGTCTCAAAAAATATTGGAGAGTCTGGAGAGATGGCTCAGTGTTTAAGAGCACTGGCTGCTCTTTCAGAGGACCTGGGTTCGGTTCCCAGTACCCATATGGCAGTTAAAAGCTGTCTCCATAATTCCAGTTCCAGGGAATCTAATGCTCTCTTCTGGCCTCCACAGGCATTGCATGACATGGGTGTATTTATATACATGCAGGCAAAAAGAAGAAAACATACATGCAGGCAAAATACTCATATACATAAAATAAGAATAAATAAATAAAATTTTAAAATTGGAAAATAGTGAAAAACATACTTTGCCTAAGATTACACAGGTATGTGGTAGAACTACACAGGGAATAGTTACAAAATCCAAGAGGTGTGTGTCGGGGGTGGTTGGAGAGGAAGGTAATGGAGAGAATTGGTACTGATGATGCCCTATTTCCTATCCTGGATGTGATATTCACAGATATCATTTAATAGTAACTTATTTTTAAGGCAGGTCTCCCTGTAGTCCCAGCTGGCATGGAACTCTCTGTGTAGACCAGGCTGGCCTTGCTCTCACAGAGATCCACATGCCTCTGCTGAGATTAAAGGTGTGCGCCACCATGCCAGCCTTAATTTTAAAGTACTTCTTTAACTAGGAATATATGTAGTATGCTTTCTTTTATATGCACACGAAACAATGAAATGTTCAATGCAAGAGTAGGGGAAAATGAGTAGACGGAACTGTTCCCTCATGGGGGACCAGTGTAAGACAAGTGTCAAGTTATGTGAATGGTTATTTATGACAGGATAAAATCTCCAGTGTCTTCTTCATACAAAGGTTCAAACAGTGTTGTAATGAAAGTGGTGTACCCTGGAAATTGTTTGGCAACTCAAAAAGGGCTCTGGACTGAGCATGGTGGTACATGTCTTTAATCCTAAGCTGGGAGGCAGAAGCAGGCAGATCTCCGTGAGTTCTGGGCCACTCTGGTCTACATAGTGAGTTCCAGCCCAGGCAAGGCTGTACGTGGGTCCCTCTCTCAAAAACTAAAACCAAACCAAACCAAATGAAACCAAAACAGAAAAGGGTTCTGGGAGGATGGAGAGATGGCTCAGCAGTTAAGAGCACTGGCTGTTCTTAGAGAGGACCCAGAGTTTGATTCCCAGCACCCAGGAGGAATCCAATGTCTCTTCTGACCTCTGCAGGCATTGCATGACACGGGTGCACTTACACACATGCAGGCAATAGATATAAAAAAATATTTTTTTTTAAAAAAAGAGTTCTGGTGAGGATAAACCCAATGGCAGAATAGAATTCAAGAAAAATATTATTCAAAATAATTGTTTTATGGTTACAATAAAACATACTTTTAAAATTACCATTATTTTACCTGTGATTTTAACTATTGTATGTCTGATTGCTTTATAATTAGTGCAAATTGACATTTATTTTGTCTGCATTTATAAAAACTATTCCAGTTTGGAGGAAAAAAAAATCCCCACCTTTCTAATCGTTGTTCTAAAGGTTTTTTTTTTTTTTTTTTTTTTTTGTACCACATACCTCTAATGTATGTGCCAGATTGCTTTTTTTCTTTTTTTACCTGGAATGAAATTTTGCCATTTCTGATCCAAATTGTACTTCACACAGTGATTTCCTGAAGGATATATGATGATCTGTTCATCGAAGAAGAAGATATTGTTGGCCACGTGGGCTCGAAGACCAAAAACATGCAGCGACTGAGCTACCACGGTGGACATAGTAACTTGCCAAACTGCTGCTGAAGATGGACCAGAAAACTGTCAGCAGAGATTCCCCCGCTCGCGGCCCCGCCCCCGCTCGCGGCCCGGGCCCGTCCACTCCCTCTAGGCCCCGCCCACTCCCGCTCCGTCCCGCCCCCTGGGCCCTCATCACTCCCACCCTCCGCAACTCCCTCTCCCCTTTCCTTTGTTCCCAGCGTTCCCGGGCCCTTCGGAGGACCCGAGAGACCCCCTCTCACCTTTTCCTTCTCGGTTCTGGGTTACCACACTACGCACGTATCCGCAGGAGCTCTTCCTATGGATCCCGAGCAACCGGGGCACTCGCAAACGCCAGGGCGGTTCCTATAGCAACGGCAAGCCGGAAGTGCGGCTCTGCGGCCGGAAGCGGAAATGCGGGAGTAGCTAGGGGAGCGGCTCCGCGTAGTTGCTGTTGCCGGTGCGGGTCACGAGCACGTGGATCGGCGGTGTCCGGGAGTCCCAGGAGCCGAGACCTCGCGCTCTCCAGCCTCGCGCACCTCGGTGACCGGCCTCATCTCCAGGCGGGGCGGGAGGCCACGAGATGGACACTCCTCCGCTCTCGGGCTCGGATTCGGAGTCTGAAGAGTCCCTGGCCTTCGACCGGGAGGTAGGCGATAGCCCGACTCGCGGGGTTGGCGTGGAACTCGGCCTTATCCCTCCGGGACTGACCCGGCCTGTGCCTGCAGTTGCAGGACGCGTTTTCCCGCGGACTCCTGAAGCCGGGCCTCAACGTGGTGCTAGAGGGGCCGAAGAAGGCGGTGAACGACGTGGTGAGCCTGAGCGCGGGACTGGGTCCTCGGAAGTGGGATGCACGCAGGCTCCTGGAACATGGGAGTTCGGTTCTTGGTGTGGGAAAGATGCTCCTTGCGCCTTCCCAGGCTGTCGATTTCCTGTGTGGGTGTTTAAACTTAACACTTTGGGCTTGGGAGAGACGAACTCTGGGCTCTCTTCTTAGAACCTTAGTGTCGGACCTTTTCTAGAACGGCCTGAAACAGTGTTTGGCAGAATTCAAGCGGGATCTGGAATGGGTTGAAAGGCTTGATGTGACCCTGGGTCCGGTGGCCGAAGTCAGTGAAACTCAGCCGACACCTCGGAACAAGGACGAGAAGAAAGGTGTTAATCCAGAAGATGACTTCCAGAGGGAAATGAGTTTGTATGTTTGTTGTGGGTCTTTGTGCTGGAGAGTCGTGGGGAGGGGACACTAGTGGACCTGCTCCTTCAGGAGTTAGCCCGGGAGTCTCCCAGGTTGAAAGCACCTTGGTTTGTCAGTCATTTCAGAGTTATCTGTGGGCCATTTTGAAACCATTTAAAGTGTGTGTGTGTGTGTGTGTGTGTGTGTGTGTATCCAGTCATTAGAACAGATTTTGCCTAGGGAAGGTTTTGAGTGGACTTTTCTGTAGTGGTTAGGTAAGAATTCATAGTTGACCTGAGTGTGTGTGTTTATGAATACCTTTATTGAGCTCATTGTTTTAAACTACTAATTTACTTTTAGCAGTACTTTCTCCCTTTAAAAATAATGTGCAGTGAAGTTTTTACTATATACAAAATAAGTGACATTTTATTTCAGTTTTTCTTTGCTTGTTCATTTGTTTCTGCTAGTGAAGGTTAGATGTTGCCAAGTCCTGAGTTTGGACAACTCCTGAAAGGCAGATGGAAGGAACGAAGGTCTTCGTGTCACCTCATTTCACTCTGTTCTACAATTTTAGCTACCGGCAGGCCCAGGCTGCAGTACTTGCAGTATTACCCCGGTTCCACCAGCTCCAAGTCCCCACCAAGCGGCCCACCGATTATTTTGCAGAAATGGCCAAGTCCGACCAGCAGATGCAAAAGGTAAGAGACAAGAAAAGTTAACCCTCTGGTAAGTGGAGGTTTCATTCTGAAGTGTATATGCAGCTGGTTTGTTTGTGGTAGTCTCTGAGAAAGATATGTATGCGCCCAGTTAAGGGAGCTGTTGTAATCATTATTTCTTCTTGAGATCAGACTCAAACTGGTCACCATCAGTTATATGAAGTTCTAATTCAAATAATTAAGGATAGGAGAAGACCTCAGGAGTGTGGTCCCTGTGAAGCGTGTGCTTTCCTCTGGGCAGGGTCATTGTTCTGGTCCTACTGTTGCCAGTGAGGATGCTATTAACTTGGAGATAGTTTTGTTTTCTTCTCTGGACCTCAGTTTTTTAGAAAGCGAGGGATTAATCTATGGGTCAGATGTGGTTTAATTTAGAGTTAGGTGGAACTTGGTCTTCATTTAACTTTGGAAGAGACTTGCTGACATCAAATCCAAGATGTATTTAAATTGTTCCCTTAGGTCTCAATCTTTTTAGGGATTCTTGGTAGTGTTCCAAGAAGCTAATTGAGAGACTAGCCCAGACCCATCTGACAACCCACTTGCACTGACAACTGCTTATGCCGTCAGTGAAATATGTATGTTTGATGGAAGAAGCTCGATATCAGATATCTGGGAGTTTTTATGGTGGGTGTGTCATGTTCAAAAAGAGCACTGAGGCTCCATGCTGCTTCAGCCTCAGTCAGCAGACAGTAGGGGTGCGTCCAGCTTTGTGTCATGAACAAACATACTGGGCTGGGAAAGCTGCTTTAGAGCTCTGGCTGCATCACTGACACTTTTGGTACCCTGGACAAAATGCTTTGCTATTGGGCTTTATTGTTCTTTTATGAGGAACTAGAACAGTGGTACGCAAGTTCCAGTTTTCAGAATTAATGGAATACCAGATCCCTATTGTAATGTGTTCTCACTAGTTCAACATTTTGTGTTTCAGATTCGACAGAAGTTGCAGACTAAACAGGCTGCCATGGAGAAATCTGAGAAGGCCAAACAACTTCGAGCTCTTAGGAAATACGGAAAGAAGGTGGGGACAAAAACATGCATGCAATATAGGGCAGGGCTGAGAATGTCAGTCAGGTCAGATCGCTGGTGTGATTCAGGTTCCGGTCTTGTGTGTGTTTGATCATGTGTCTACCTCCTTGTGAAGGATGTCTTCTGGTGTCCCTGAGCACAGACCCACTCGACACCTTGGACACCAGGCATAGTGTGGTAATCTCAGGTGAGCTGATGATCTTTCTGGGTTTTAGTTTTCACATCTGTACGATTAAGAATTGGGTCCAGATCAGTGGTTTCTTTTGGGGAGGGGGATATTTTTTGAATCAGGGTCTCCCTGTAGCCCCAGCTGGCCTGGAACTCCCTATATAGACCAGGCTGACCTTGAACTCACAGAGAACCACCTGCCTTTGCCTCTGGAGTGCTGGGATTAAAGGCATGCACCACCATGCCCCGCTATGAGATCAGTGGTTTTCTAAACCTGACTTCCCAGCAAAGTCACCACAAAAAATTCAAAAACATTTCTAGGCTTCAAAGACTTCCAGAATTATGTATTTCCCTTTCTCTCAAAGCTTCCCAGGTGCTTCTAATAAGTACTTGGATGGGATGCACTGGCCTAGATGTTTGTCCAGTCTTTGAAGGGATCATACTGTTGAGTTTCATCTAGTCCGACAGGGAAAAAAGAAGGTGATAGTAATTAGAGCTGTGGGAGGGGATGAATATGAGGAGGATCAGCATAGGTGTTAAGGCTTTGAAAGCTTTTTGAGCTTGTGATCTGGGGTGTGTTGCTGTCCTTACTTGGGGTCATTTCATTGATAAATCCTAGTATTCTGTCTTCAGCAAGAGGTCTGCTGTGGATTTGTTTCCCTGATCTGGATGTGGGTAGCTGGCATCATCTCAAAGACATTGGCAGTTAGTTGACTATAACCTAATTTATCAAAAGCAAAGAAAAAGACCATTAGGGCTGTTGGAAAGATAGCATGACGGTTAAGAACAATTGCTCTGCAATCATGAGGACCAGAGGCTGGATCCCAATATACACATAACAAGCTATAAATACCTGTATCCCTAGCTACGAGGGGACAGGGACAGGAGGCTTGCTGGGTTTTGCTGCCTCTAGCCTCACCAAGTAGAGACTTACTTATGTGAGCTCCAGGCACAGGGAGAGCCCTTGCCTTAAAGGACTAGGCAGGGAGTGAAAGGAGGATACCTGATGCCCTCTTCTGGCCCCTGAATATGTACATGAGCACATGTACCTGCACACACATGTGCACACATGCTCACACTGACAGATACACATACACATGTGCACACATTACAAATAAATAAAATCCTTTAAAAAAAAGAAGTCTGTTGGGCCTGTTAGTTCACTGTTTATATTTGTTCACAGTAAAGCCTTAGGGAGTTGTTTTTCATTTGGGGATGACTTTGTCCTCTAGGGAGCATTTGTCACTGGAGACATTTTTAGTTGTTACATCTTGGGGTTGCGAGTGGTATTGGCATCTGGTGGGTAGAGGAGAGGATGCTGCCAAACATCCCACCATCCTGCATCCCAGAAAAGAAACTGTCCAAAGTGTTGGCAGGCATTGTCACTTGTCTCCTTTGGTCCTTAAAGCTTTTAAGAATTGTTCTCTGGAGAGATTGTGTGTGTCTGTGGTGTCTTTATGTGTGTGTGTGTGTGTGTGTGTGTGTGTGTCATTTTCTTCTTTTTGATACTTTTATGCCTGTTGGGTGTTAAAGCTGCCCAGATACAATTGATAGGGAAAGTCCAATATGGACTTGAACATGATTTGCTACAGTTTCATGTGCAGGAATGTTTGATGGGGTCAAAAGTGCATGCTTTGGGGTTGGGCTGCCTGGATGTGAATCTCAGCTCTGCCCTTTCTTGCTGTGTAACTTGGCAAGTGTGTGTAGTTTTCTGTCTGCTGTAGTTTAAAAATAATGAATTTGAACTTCACTGAATTGTTATAAAGATGAACTAAAAATATACTTGGAGTCTTTAGTATATTTTTGGCACCTACGTGTAAATGTTAAATGGTACTGGAATTACACGGAGCATATTTGTTGGTGTATGTGTGTGTTTTAACCATGTAGTCACAGATTCCTGTTGAGAAGGTGCACCTTTGGAGTCATGGTTTGGAATGGGTGACTGACCTTGTGTCTGTATCACAGGTGCAAACTGAGGTTCTTCAGAAGAGGCAGAGGGAGAAGGCGCATATGATGAATGCCATCAAGAAGTATCAGAAAGGTCATATATATCTCTCTGCTAAAGATGTAGGGGAACCTGGGTACCTTAGAGCTAATGGGACCCTAAAGTGCTTTGGAGTCATTTTGATTGACTTAAAATTCTTGGGCCTAAGTTTTAGATACAGTGTAGGGAGCAAATGTGCTTCTTAAAATCAGTACCATGGTGCTGGTTAATGTGCTGCTTTGTTCGTACAGGCTTTTCTGATAAGCTGGATTTCCTTGAAGGAGATCAGAAACCTGTTGCACACGGTGCAAAGGCGGGAACTAAAGGCCAGCAGATGAATAAGGGGTAAGAATTTTGGTTTGGTTTGGTTTTGTCTTATGATGTGTAATGGGCCAATAGTTAGTCTGGTGAGGGACCTCCTCAGGCAGGGTCCCCCCAGGGAGAGAGTGCAACAGCTCAAGGGACCCAGACTTTCATGCCATGAGATGGGCCCTATGGCCACTGTCGTGTCTGAAGAGGAAAATATGTACCTCGCTCAGTTGAAACGAGTGCCTAATCACTGTGCTGTTCCATGCTCCACAGAATGATGGCCAGGGTACAGCTCAAGGATTCAGGTCCAGCTTCAGCCACCATCAGGAGGGTGATTTTTGAGCACCTCCCTTGTTGATTGGCACATTACCACAATGAGGCAGTGATTTGTGCCTTGTACTAGGAAGACTGAAAGGGAGAATGTTTGCTGTTACTTCTTAGTACCACTTTCTAGCTGGACACCAGGCCTAAGGGGATGATAAATTCCATATAATTGAGCAAGTGTTATGATAAAAGCATTTGGGGAATAGTACAGAAGCACATTTTAGAGTCCTAGCATAGTCTGGGATGGCTTCCTGGAGGAGAGTCCTACCTGAGCCTAAAATATGAAGGATGTGGAACAGATGATGAGGACAGGAGAGAAGCTTTTCTGGAGGGAAGAACCTGAATGAGTAGGGTGCAGAGACATAAGCCAGTAGGTTGCATGGGAGGTGCTGCCAGGGTTCGACCTGCAAATGCTGTGTGATGCTGAGAATAGGGAGGTGGGCTGGGACCCTGGGATGCTTGGTTGCCTGTTTCGAAGGTTGCCTTCATTCAGTTGGCATTGGGGAGACCCTGTTTTTTTTTACTCAGAGTAATGAGTAGATCAGTTTTGTGTTGAGAAGGTGATGGAGGTACTTGTCTAAGTAAATGATGAAGGAAGTAGGCTTGATTGAGTGACTGTTAAAAAAGTGCAGGTGAGCAAGAATAATGCCTTGAAGGTGTTATGGGGCAGGGGAGGAAAGTAGGTGGAGAGAGTGCTTAAGAGGCTAAATGAACATGATCAGTAATTGAATTGGATGTGGAGAGTTGGGTTGCTGGGCACATGGTAGGAGGCAGCAGTTCCAAGTTAGGGCATCTGTGGGGATGGACCTAATCTAGGAAGGGAGGCTAGGCTGAATTTGAAAAGTTTTAGACTGTTCGGTTTAACTATTAACTATGTGTTTTTGTCCTTGATAAGAATAGAAGCAACTGAGGCTGTGTTAGCAGGACGGAGTTAAAATAGATTCTAGTGACAGCAGAAAGCCATATTGACAGATAGAGATCCTTTCCTGCCTTTGTTAGTTTTCCCTCCCTGGGTAGCTCATAGGGTGAAACAGTAGGGCCAAGGAGAAGAGTCCTGTAGTAGTAGTGCCTTGGGCTTCGCAGAAAGGAACCTGAAGCCGGAGCCAGGCCAGGATTGTTGGGGTTTATGGTGCTCCAGGAATCTGTAAGGAATAGCACCTGCATCTTTTTCAGGCCCAATGCCAAACGGCGCTACAAAAACCAAAAGTTTGGTTTTGGTGGAAAGAAGAAAGGCTCTAAGTGGAACACTCGTGAGAGCTATGATGATGTGTCCAGCTTCCGGGCCAAGGTAGCTCATGGCAAGGGCCCCAAGAGGCCTGGGAAGAAAGGAGCAAATGTAAGTGGGTCAGGGTTGGGGCAGGCTGCATCTCTTCTCGGCCCTACCCTCCTCCCCTTCTTTATGCCTTCTCACTCTGGGACAGAAGCAGTGCTGTGACGACATGTTCTTTTTTGTCTGTGTAGAAGAGACCCGGGAAGCGAGCGAGGGAGAAGATGAAGAGCAGAACCCACTGAGCTGCAGCTCTTTGTACAGAGCCAAGAAGGGACAGGCCTGGATTTCACAGCACGCTCAGAGCCTTGCTGTTGGGGGCTTTTTATAGAAAGTTCTTTAATAAATAAAAGTTATTAAAGAAATATATATACTCGGGTTAAAAACTTAGGGGCTGAAAGATTGAGAAGTTTGCATATTAAAGAATATAGTTATTTATTGATAACTTAGACTGTGTGCCTAGCTGCCTTCCTCTGTGATAGCTGGAGGTTGAACCCTGTCTTTCCAAATTGTTCTGTCACAGCTAGTTTCTGAAAAGCATGGGGGAGCCATCAGATTGCCTCTACCATATCCTTTGCTTTTTCCTTGAGTTAGTGACCACTTTATATTTTCCACTTACCTAATTTTCCTTCTTTGTCTTTAGGTTTTCCAAAAGCTTTGGTATGTTACCTGCCTTATAATTCCCTGTGGCGGTCTTGGTCTGCCCTAAACCATCCTGTTGTCTCTTCTTAGACTGTCTAGGTTGGTTGCATTATTTCCTGGGCTCCTATGTTTTCCTTTATGCCTCTTGTTATGTGTTGCTCTGCAACACACTATGCCTGCTCCTTAGAAACCTGAATAATGCTGTCAGATGACACTGCTGACAGTACAGGAAAGTACCCCCTCCAAAACAGCATCGGATCCAGATGCTGTAGACCAGCAATATACCAGTCAACTGTTCAGAACATTTGGGGGCAGAAACTTGAGCACCTCAATGTGGGGCTCCTCAATGTAGGTAGGGGGACCTCACCTTGCTCAGGAAGAGTGCCCCCAACTTCAATATAGGGACATGAGAAGCCATGCTCAGAAAGCAGCTCAGCCTCACATTTCTGTATAGCATTAAAATATATTCCTTATTTTACTGCACAGTATAGCTTCTGTAAGATCTGTGTCAGCTCTGTGACTCCTTCAGTAGTTTTATTTAACAAACATGTACTAATTAGTGTTGGATATTTTCCTAGGAGAGAGCAGCACCTCCCCTCCAGGAGCTTGCTTTCTAGTTGGTGGTCAGCAGGGGAAGGGTGTCAACAGGTGTGGCTTTCAATATTGGCAGTGGGAAGGAGATAGGACAGAGCGGCCTAGGTTCCCAGAAATGCCTTGGCTCAATGAAATTCTGAGCAACAACGTTCCTGCAGCTCTGAAGGACCCAGAAGTAATGGGGACCCTCCAGAACACAGCTCAGATCCCAGCAAAGACATTAGATGCCCAGGACACCAAAAGGCTATGAATCTTTTCAATATCATCAATCAAATTTGAATGGTAAACATAAAGCTCTTTTGTCTCCTCCAAGGGAAAAGTCAGATCCATTATGGGGCATCACAGTAATTCAAATCAAGTAACTCTGTCCTCATTGTAAAAAAATAATCTGGAAAACTGATGATAGTCCTAACCCTTGTGACAAATGCATTAGAAACTACAGTAAGGCACCATTGGTGTTTTCAGATTCTTCCTGTGTTATTGTAAATCTAAATAAAATATTTTTTACATTTAAAATTTTTATTTTATATGCGTATTTTACCTGCATGTACATATGGAGGCCAGAATTGGGCACCAGATCCCTTGGAACCGGAGTTACTTGGTTGGTAGCCACCATGTAAGCTGCTGGGAACTGAACCTGGGTCCTCTGCAAGAGCAGCCAGAGCCATTTCTCCAGCCCCTTTTTGAAACATTTTTAAATTACAAAATGGAAAGCTTAGAAAAAGGTGGAAATTGCTGGATTTTGGAATATACTCATGATTGTGGCTTTTTGTCTTGATTGCATACAGAAGAATGGTTAAAAATCTTTAGAAGTGATAGATAAATCAAGTCAAATTGGGAGAAAGCACCAGGACACAGACAAAAACTCCCAGCAGGATACAGTTTATTAGAAGAGGAAAACGCACAGGACAGTTCCCCTTTCAGGATAGAGGAGCTGCCAGTTTACAGGTTGTTGGCTGGGGGAGGGTATAGGGGGCTTTGTGGAATTCAGAAGGTGGGAAAATATTTTTTAAAAACAGGTGGGAGAGAGAGAGCGAGCCCAGGGTTTATCAGGAGAGAATAGCCTCTGTCAAACTGCCCTCTTCAGTCCCCTTCCGTCAGCCAGGATGTGGGTTATGGAATAGGGGTCTAACCATTGTGAATTTATCAGGGGAAATGGCTTGTTAGACAGTTCCTAGATCTTTGAGTCTGGGGTGCAGAGGCCTGTTTGTCAAAATTTTAAGATTATCAAAGGGGAAGTAGGTTGTGATGATAAAGAGTCTGTTTATCCTTTAAGATCATCAAAGAGGGAGCATGCTGTGCTGAAGGGGCTCCTTGCAGTAATTGGGTCTGGGGGGGGGTCTCAGGTCAAAAGCTGTAGAGAGTCTGTTTATCTTGTCTTGTTGGATGGTCAGGGTGCTCATTAACTCAGTTCCTGCATTCTCAAGGGGCCTGCAAAACCGTCAGGCCCTTCTGCATTGGGGAGGGAGTTGCTATAGATCCGAACCCTAACAAGGAAACCAGAAAATTTTTTTTTTTTGTCTTTTCTGAAATTTGCCCAATGTGATGGAGTTGACAGAATTGAGTCACCCAGGAGACAAGACTTGGCATGCCCTAGAGGGATTATGTAGATTAGGTTATCTTCTTTGAGCATCTGCAGTGAAGGAGATCATCATTAAGTTAACTGAGTTGGGAAGATGCAGCCTGAATGTGAGTGGAACCATTCCCTGGGATGTGGTCCTGAACTGCATGAAAAGGAGAAAGTGAGCTGGGCACCAACATTCATCACCCTCTGCTTCCTGATTGTGGATGGAAGGTGACCAACTACCTTAAGCTCCGTTGCCATGACTTCCCTGCCAGGAGAAACTGTACCCTCCAACTGTGAGCCATAATAAACCCTTCAGTTGCTTTGTCAGGGTCTTTTTTAAAAATATTTTATGTGTATGCATGTATTGCCTGCATGTAGGTAAGTGCACCCGTGTCATGCAATGCCCACGGAGGACAGAAGAGGCTGTTGGATCCCCTGGGACTGGAGTTAGACAGTTGTTAGCTGCCATGTGGGTGCTGGGATTTGAACCCGGGTCCTCTGCAAGAACAACCAGTGTTCTTAACCGCTGAGCCATCTCTCCAGCCCCTGAATGATGTTTTTTATCTGCAAAGCCCAAAAGGGTCCAAACAGGGCTGGCCTGGCTGGGTCAGCCACACCGGTCCATCCTTCCTGTCACGTGAGGTAAGCTTGCCACCAGGTGTCTAGGAAGGTCAGAAATGTAGCACTTCTACTGTGGAGCCAGGGCTTTACTCCTGAAGAGAAAGGAAAGATTAGTACATTAAATGACTTGTGCTCTATAATATTTTTCTAAATCGCCCAAGTGTTTAATGTAGACGATTTCTATCTACTCCCTGCCCACCTCATAACCTTCCTTCCTTCACAGCCCTTGTCGTTACAAAGATTCTATCATTGTACAAACTCCTCTCGGGTTTCCTGAACTCTTTCTCAGCTAGGTCTGACATTCAGATTTCTGTTTTCATCTCTGCTTTGACCATTATTAGCAAAAATCCTGCTTAGTTGTTTTCCCAGCTCCTCACTGATGAACCTGGATGTGCTCAGCCTTTTATATTAAGATTTCCCTGAGTAGCCTTATTGCAGAGTCTGCACCCAACAGGAGCTGTATAGTGGATAAACAGGCCAGATTCTGGGGCATTCTGGAAATTGTATGAACTAGAGAAACAGCTTTACATTAAAACACAACTCCCTGCCTTCTAGAAGACTTAGACGGGGAACCCATTCAGCACTACTAAGAGTCTGGCACATGCCAGATTATAGCACTGGGTATTAGGGAACTAAGATTTCACTAAAATCTTCAAGTACCTCACGGTTGGAATAGCACTGTCACAGCAATTGCCAGGCACATGTGACTACTTGAATTTAAATGACGATACTAAACACAATAAAAAAATGCACTGTCTGGGCCTGGGGAGGTAGCTTAGAGAAAGTGCTTGCCTTGCAAATATGAGACCTGAACTTGATCTGTAGAATCCATGTAAAAACAGCAGGGCATGGTGTACACTTGTAATCCCAGTGCTGGGGAGGCTGGGATAGGTGGATTCTTGGGGCTTGCTGACCAGCTAGCCTAGCCTACTTGGTGAGTTTCAGGCTTGTGAGAGACTCTGTACACTCCAAAAAGTAGATGATGTCTAAAGAATGACACCTGAGGAAGTCTAGTGACATGTACACATGCACAATAATCATACTAGCCACATTTTGAGTGTTCACTAGTCATGTGTGGCTAATAGTTACAGTTTTGACCATCACACAGACACAGAACATTGTCACCACTGAAGAATGTTCTCTTGGACAGTACTTTTATCTAAGTTATTTGAGGACAAGAAACATCCGCTCCATCTCTACTTACCAGTCCCCAGCACTGTGGGAAGCTGTATGTTTGGTGTTTACTGTCTGATCCGTGTCTGAGGGACTCTTCTGTTAATGTCATTATATGAACCCTTACATCATCCAGACACACAGATGACATCACACCTGACTGGGCTAGAGAAGTTCTTTGGCATTATGGACATGCCTGGTAAGACTCAAATAACTGGAAATCCTCACCATCTTCTTGAGGCAAAGAGGAAAATGACCATCATTTTGTTAAGAAGCCACATTGCTGGTTTAGAGACAGGTAGCAACTGGGCTCCTCAGGTTGGGCTTGTTTGACAACAGCTAGAATAGCTCCACACAGGCAATGTTGGGCTGGGTGGAGGCTGGGGGAGGGTGCTGTCAGAGGCTCTGCAGCTTCACTTTCCTGCCCCAGCTCTACATTCTTCTGTTTCCCAGGTGTCCTGACATAGGCTCAGCTAGCTAGGACAGCCTAGAGACACAGGCTTGCCCTGCCTGCCTGGAGTCCAGGCCACCAGTGTGTTTTACAGTCTATTTTACAGACATGATTTATTTTTGTCTGGACACTGTGAATTGAGAAATACTGGAAGTATGGGAAACCCAGTGTCCTTAGGGAACTGATTTCTCTGGTTCCTTCTCACTTAGGGTAGGATGCTGACAGCCGACAAATCAATTAGAAAATGTAATACAAAAGCAACGCTTTGCATTAGGAGCTATTTTCTAGGGATTAACCCAAGAGTGAATGCGTATGTCCATGTGTTTGAGTCAGTTATGAGGCCTGTTTTATGCTATTTGTCTGTCTGTGCTTGTACCAATACTACGCTATAATTATTATAG